CTTAGCCACTTGAGCCACAGGTGCCGAGCCTAAAAAACGTCTTTATGCAACATTTTTAGACAGGATTTCATCTGTGGTGTAGAAAGATTAATGTGAATGAGTTGGAGTTTAGATTTTAGAGGAAAATACAGAAGCAGGGATCAGATTGGAAGACCATTTAAAGGAGGTGACAGAAGGAAGACAGGTCAGAGTGGGACAGTTGGGGAGAGGAGAAACATGTTAGATGTAATGAATACCTAGTAATTCAAAAAGGTGAGGATTCTCATGTTTCTCATCAAAGATCAACAGAATTATGATCCTATGATCTTCGTGAAGAACCCGGAATAAGAGGAAATTAGGAAACAATTTCTAATTTCAATGTCTTTCCACTGAATATAAATTTTAATCTGTATCAGTATCCTTTCACTAATTTAAAACTTAGAGCGTCCTGCTTAGCTGCTCAGTGGTGTTAGTAAAACATTAAGCTGCTATTGCATCCGTCCTGCCGTAGGGCCATGGGGCCAAAGGTCCATTCCTTCAAGCACAGTAAATACAAAAGGTCACATGTGGGGAGAATGTTTTCAAGAAATTTCTTAGGCAAACAAGACGAGGAAAAAGATGATTAAAAGTCAGAAAGGAGAAGATATATAAACCACCCAAGTCAGATGGAGGTCATACGTATGTAAACGGCATAGGAGATGTAGCTAGTTGCTGACCACTTTAAACTACCCCGCTGCTTGGACGCCCACCACGAACCTCCCACCGAGAAGTGCACCTGTTCTGCTGAACAGCCTGCAGACGGATGCTCCAGATGAACACAGGAAGGTAAGAGAACCTGACCCTCCTCTGAATGGATGATCCAGCAATGAATACTTAGAAAAGCTGCTCTAGAGAATATAATACTGAGTGAACAGGTAAGGAGTAAATGAATTACTAAAGCAGCAAGTAGTGTCCAGTTAAAGTGAGAGAAGCATTTTCTTTTCTTAATTAAAGAGTAAAGCAATTATGGAATGTTAAAGCATTCTACAAATATTTAGTGGAGTTTAAAGAAAATAACCTGAAGTAGGTAGGCTACATTCAATTGTTTGGATTATTATACAATATTAAAATATCACTTACTGTTTAAGCATAGCAAACTAATAATTTACCAAAAAAGTAAGTTCAAAATCTACTCGTCACCTTCTAGCTATGTGTTTTGTTTTGGTTTGTTTTTAAATAATTGAAAGAGGTTTATTCTGAGCCGAGTTTGAGGACCATGACCCAGAGCCATGCCCCAAAGCCCTAAGCAAGTGGGGTACAGTTTGCTTTGATACATTCCATGGAGACAGGGGTTACACACACAGTCATAAATCAATACATGAACGGTGTACATTGGTTTGATCTAAAATGTGGGACATCTCAAAGTGGGGGTGGAGGGCCTACGGGTTATAGGTGGACTTAAAGATTCTTTGAGTTGTAATTGTTGAAAGAAATGAAGTGTTGTCTAATTAGAGACAAGTCACCAGACCTACACCAGACTCAAGTGCTCTGTTAAGTAAATTGAGGACCTTCAGGTGTGGTTAAGCTTTGTCTTGCATTGCCTGCAGCCTCTCAATGAGTTACAGAGGGTACCTCCAAGAAGGGCATGTCTGACCTCCCTTCTCATGGCCAGCAACCCAGGCTTAGTGTATTTCTGGGGTCCCCTTGGCCAAGAGGGGTCCATTCAGTCAGCTGGTGGGGGAGCTCAAGATTTTATTTTAGTTAACAATTCCTCCCCTTTGGCCAGAATCTACCAGAGCTAGTGTCAATGACCAAACTCTGATTTTGTCCCACTGTTGCCAGGGTTAGCCATGTGGTTTTTAAAATGTATTTCAACCTCTCTATGCTTGAGTTTTCTTGTTGATAAAATGAAGAATACTCTTTTGAGATTTATGAATTTAAATGTGATTATCTATGTGGTATTTCTGTGATTATCTGCCTTTTGTAATTTCAAGATATTACAGGGGTACACATGTTTTTGGTGTATGTTTGAATTTTGCTACGCCTGAGTCCGGGTTATAAGTGTGCTCATCACACACATAGTGTTCATTGTACCCATTAAGTAGGTTTTTTCCAATCCTCCCCCTCCCCTCTACTTGATTATTACTGAGTTTTATTTCCCTCAGTACATATGTGTTTTCATCGGAGGTTTCCAATTTAATAGCATGTGTTCTATGCAAAAGGATGTTCATTTTTCCATTCCCTAGATACTTCACTTAGGACAATTGTCTCTCATTCCATCCAAATTGTTGCAAAAGCCTTAATTCAGTCTTCTTCATGGCTGCATAATATTCCACACTATACATATACCACATTTTGTTAACCCAGCCATGAATTGATGGGCACTGGGTTGATTCCACATCTTTACAATTGTGAGTTGCTTCAATAAATGTTTGAGTGTAGTTGACTTTTTGATAAAACGACTTATTTTCCTTTGGGTAAATACCCAGTACTGGGATTGCTGTATCAAATAGTAGGTCTGCTTTTAGTTCTTTGAGGAAGAGCCATACAGTTTTCAATAGCATGTCTTTCTCTCTGACTCAATGCCAACATCTATTGTCTTTGAAACTTTTAATAAAAGGCATTCTAACTAGAGTAGGTGATATCTCAATGTGGTTTTAATTTGCCTTTCCCTAATGATTAGGACATTGAACATTTTTTAATATGTTTATTGACCACTTGCCTATCTTCTTTTGAAAAGCTTCTGTTCATGTCTTTTGCCCACTTTTTATTTTTATTATTTTTTATTTTATTAAATCATATCTGTGTGCATTAAAGCATTTATAGGGTACAATATGCTGATTTTATATATAATTTGGAATGTTTACATCAAACTAGTCAACATAGACTTCACCTTATTTACTTATTTTTTGTGTTAAGACATTTATACTCTACTCTTAGTAGTTTTGACATGTACCCTTGCAATGAGCAGAGTAGGTGATGTCCCACCAATTACCCTACCTCCTTCCAGCCTCCCTCCTCCCCTCTCCTCTCCCTACTCTTCCCTCCTTTATTCTGGTCAATAGTTGTATTTTCTCATTCTTATGCAAGTATGGGTGATTATATATTGGTTTCTTAATAGCACTGAGTACACTGGATACATTTTCTTCCATTCTTGGGATACTTTACTAAGAAGAATATGTTCCAGCTCCAACCATGTGAACATAAAAGATATAAAGTCTCCATCTTTTTTATGGCTGCATAATATTCCATAGTATACTTATACCACAATTTGTTAATCCATTCATGGGTCGATGGGTACTTGGACTGCTTCTATGACTTTTTTGCCCACTTTTTAATGAGATTGTTTTTGTTTGATTGTTTTGAGACAGAGTCTCACTATGTCACCCTTGGTAGAGTTCTGTGGCATCATAGCTCACAGCAACCTCAAACTCTTGGGCTTAAGTGATTCTCTTGCTTCAGACTCACAGGTGCCCATCACAATGCTCAGCTATTTTTTGTTGTTGCAGTTGTCATTGTTTAGCTGGCCCAGGGCAGATTTGAACCCACCACCTTTGGTGTACATGGCTGGTGCTGTAACCATTGTGCTACGGGCACCAAGCTGGGATTGTTTGTTTTATTCTTCCTGATTTGCTTGAATTATTTGCAGATTCTGGTTATTAGCCCTTTATCAGATGCATAACTTGTGAACATTATCTCCCATTCTCAAGATTGTCTGTTTGCTCTGCTGATTATTTCCTGAGCTATTCAGAAGCTTTTTAATTCAATCAAATCTTGTTTATTTATTTTTGTTGTTGCTGTAATCGCCTTTTTTTTTTTTTTAAACACAGAGTCAGTAGAGTGCTAGGGCATCATAGCTCACTGCAACCTCAAACTCGGGTTTGTGCAATCCTCTTGCCTCAGCTTCCTGAATAGCTGGAACTACAGGCAAGTACCACTATGCCCAGCTAGTTTTTATATTTTCAGTAGTGATGGGATCTCTTGCTCAGGGTGGTCTCAAACTCCTGAGTTCAAGCAATACAAATACCTCAGCCTCCCAGAGTGATAGGATTACAGGCATGAGCCAACATGCTCACCCTTGGGGTCTTCATAAATTCTTTGCCTAGGCCTATTTCCAGAAGAGTGTTTCTAACATTTTCTTCTAGAATTCTTATAGTTTCTTGCATCATTTAAGTCTTTTATCATCTTGAATTTATCTCTGTGAAAGGTGAGAGATATGGATCCTGTTTTATTCTTCTTCCTGTGGCTATTCAATTTCCTAGCACCATCTATTGAATAGAGTATCTTTTCTAAGAAGGGGGATTTTGTATGAAAGCAATAATCTCTTATTCATTCATTTATTTATCTTCCACTTATTATTTAACAAAGGTTGAGGAATTTATATTGTTCATTGAAGTGAAATAGGCCATGCATAGATTAAAAAAAAAACTCATACATTAATTTAAAAAATCATGTATAATGAACACAAGCAGAAGTTAAGCTCACTGTTAGAATTCAATGGGCCTGCAAGGCTGCTTAAGGTAGAGCAAAATGCCTACTCTGACTTCCCTAGCAGACAAAACTACTTTAAAAAGTGGCGCAATTCTACATATTTTTCCAAACACTAAGATCTGAGAGATATTTCTCCTATGGTTTATCATAAAACATTTCGTTTTGATACAGAGAGCATGTACCAGTGAAATTCATACCTTTGCTTTTTTCATTCTCCTTTATTCACATCAGAACAGGAAATCAAATTTAAGCTCCCGAGGAGCCAAATTCATTAAGAGTCAAAAGCAGCAGGGTTCAATACTGCCGCTGCAGGTAAAACTTAAAGTTTCCCCAAAGTGACCCAGACGTCAACTGCTTTCACCACGTTCCTCTAAAGCCAATGGTAACAGTCTGAACCACCCTCTGCCCCAGTCTCAAAATGCCTTTGCTAGTAAGCCCTGATAAAAACAGATGCAACACAATTCCTTACCAGCTTTTTTTTTCTTTAAATTGAAATAGCTTTGCACATTATACTCCTTAACAAGTCTTAAAATTGAGGGGAAGCTAAACTTCAGAAAATGAACAGGGAAGCTGATCTGGAATAGTTTGAATAACATGGGGATCTCCTAATCTTTAAAGCTGAGCTAGAACACATGTACAAAACTTCAGACAACGTTGCCTTCTATATGCTAATTCTTCAAACTCATTTTCAGTTGTCTTCTAAAAGAATTGTTCTCTTGAAATGTTCCTCTTATTTAGTCAGTTTTGAAAATTTGTATTTTGCTATAACATTATAACTTTTCTCCAGATTACAAATGCTGTTTTATATATATAAATACACGTTAAAATTTCATATTTATTAATGTCCTTTTCCTTGTCTGATAATTCTTACTTTTATGTTCTGTACCTTCCTCAACTATAATAAATAAGAGCCCCTTAGAAGTGTTTCCCTTTGGCTCCTAGGGATTTTCTGCAACATTCGTTGGATTGGAGTTGAGCAAGATCTTTACCTTTATCTGCAGTGTGGGGATTAAGAAAATTTAGGAATTTTCTTTATTTTTGTATCTGTGTACTAAAGGTTATGGGAAGTCACAAACAATTGGAAAAATTAGTGTGCAGATACTGGACACATCTACAATGAGAACTTTTGCAGAATTTAGTAGTGACACCAGAAAACAATTTGACAGACCAATATAGGAAGAAAATTAAATGCCTACAGAGGACCTTGAGGTGATACCTCCAAACACATCCCTCACTTCCTCTCTTGATAGTAATTTTTAATATACACAGTAATCCTCCATAGTTGACCACCTCCTTAAGTGGACCTGTGCTCACAGACCATGTACTACCAGCACAGCAGGCCTAGTTCCTTATGT